TACCCAAGCGACTTAAGACTGGTTTTGTGGTCCAGGGTCACATTTATCTACACATTCAGCAACAATAGTCAAACAAATTCTAGAGGAATGTGGACAGAAATGCTAATGATCTATAATTTCTATAATCATTTGAAACCATTTTTTAAAGACCCTAGTGGGATCAAATATGAAACCAAATAACATCAAGAAGATAGATTAAATGGCACGTTTCTAACATCATAATAATTTGCATATGCACAGTTGTACAAATATGGTAATTATTCATTACCGTAGTATATAACAAAGTACTGTGATATTACCATATGATACCATCACCTTACAATGGTACCGTCACTTCTTTTTTAAAGGATCACAGTCCAATATTTTTGTACTTGGAACAAAAAAAACTCTTAGTAATCTACTGTCCTTTTTTGTAATCCATTGTCTTTTTTAAAGTCTTGTCATGTATGATTTTATGATTAGGTGTGAATAGGCTTTAAGCCGTCCGTAGACCCTGAGGTGTTGTTTCTAACTACACAGCTACAGATAAATAAATATTGACTAAATGTCCTGCAAAACAATAGCTCGGTCAGTGTAACTGTCCGGCTCCATATTAACGGCAGCCTTCCCAGGCTCCATTTGCAAAGCTCGGCAGTATTTTCACATCAGCGGCCATCTCCCCATTTATCATTGTCTTTCTGTTTGTCCCGCTCTCCAAGCCTGTCTCTTTCACTTCAAGGAAGGACGTACAGTATTGATAGGGTTTATTTTACCCACGATCCCCTTGTACCGTCTCTTTGTTATTTCATTCGTGTCTTCGAAACCGACAGAGAGCGTCTGCGGCACTGCGGCTCGGCGACGTTACGCCTTTGCTGCCCATTCTAATAAACTTTGTTCTGTCACTAGCCATTTTGCTTTCTCTCTCCCGCTTCCAAATCCAAAGCTCCTGGTAGCCGGTTCCAATGTGCCCTTCACCACATGCTAATGTTCCTGCAATGTCAGCTGTGAACATCTCCTCGGTCTCTCCGAGTGGCTCTTCTATTATCATATTCAAGGGCAGGGGACAAAGCCAGCAGGAAGAGTTCAAACAACAGGAAATAATGTCACGCTATACAGTTAGGTTTCAACTGCGGAGCCCGGCGAGGGTGTGAAGTCGCTCGCCGAAATGCCAGCGTAAGGCGAGCATGACTCATGGTGTCGGGAAAAAAGTGTGTCATTGGAATTCGTCCTTTTTCTGGAAATGGATGCTGGTAATCGCATTGAGAGTGGTGTGGAAGCCCAAATACAGCAGGTAATGAAATCGGCAGGTAAGTTAACAGGACAAATTGACAACTTCAGACATTTTTATCCCTGTTGAACTCTCCCTAAACGAATCTTCCTCTCTCTCTCTCTCTCTCCTTGTGTTTGTGTCTTCAAAACCCTCTCGAACAGATGTGGAGAGGAACTGTAAATTATGTACTGTGAAACCATAATCAAAAGCGTTGGCCTTCATGCATTCAGCTTTCGAGAAAACAAAACACTTGCTCCAAACACCGCATCGTTTTTAGAGGAAAGAGGAGGAAACCTCACATCAATACGCGCTTCTGTATCAACAATGAAAGTTGCCACGACAACCGCAGTCGGGCTGAATTGACTTGAATCTTTTAACACAGCAGAGGTCAAAGCACTTGTAATTTCTTCTCATAGAAAATGACAACAGTTCAATTACCACTCCAGCACACTTACAGACACGATAAAACCGCGTATCGATCACCGCAGAGGTCAGAAACCTCCACGACTCGCGAACCGCTCAAAACTCACGAACCCTTGTAGTTTTCCATTTTTCTCTCCACTCGTCTGCTTGCGACCCTGGTTTTTCTATTTTTAAACGGGACTTCAAAGGCGTTCTCGGATCTCGGAGTGAAGAAATCTCGTCTGCTGGGAATTCTTTACAATGCTCTACAAAGTGGGAAACGGCAGCTGCCCACCCTCATTAAAATGATCTTTGCCTTAATTGCTGGCTTGCCAATGAAGATTCTATTTTTGGGGTTTTTCCATTAGTATATATTTTCTACAACTATAAAAGGAATATAGAAGACAGTTGTAACATTTTAACTACTATTAACCTACCTGTCATCATTTAGTTTAATAAACAGTTATATGTTTGAAATTGAAATGCACCATCATAATATAATATAATATAATATAATATAATATAATATAATATAATATAATGTAATATACACTACCTTTTGAAAGTTTGGGGTTAGTAAGATATTTTTAATATACAGTGGGTACGGAAAGTATTCAGACCCCCTTAAATTTTTCAATACTTTTATTAAGCAGGGTTCATTATATTATAATATTAAAAAAATGAATGAAATGAAAATATTTATAAATATTTCAAATAAATGCTGTTCTTCTGAACTTTCTATTCATCAAAAAATCCAGATTTTTTTTTTTATTATGGTTTCCACAAAAATATTAGGCAAAACACATTTTTTTTTAACATTGATAATAATAAGAAATGTTTCAAATTATAATGATTTCTGAAGGATCATGAGACATCGAAGACTGGATTAATGGGTTCTGTAAATTTCAAATTTTCAGTTACTAATTGTTATAATATTTAACAATATTACTGTTTTTATTGTATTTTTGATTAGAAATACTTAAAAAAATACAAAAAAATATTATCAGCCCTAATTATACTTTATATATTACATTATACTACTTTTATATGCAAATATGTGCACATATACAAATGACAAATTATATAATTAATATTCATGTATTTATGCAATTGAATATTAATTAGTAATAAATTATTTAACAACATATAATATTACTAAATATTATATTTTAAGATGATAAATATTACATTTTATTTTTATTTTTTTACTTTGTCATAATTATTTATTTATTTTATTTTTACTTCATAACTATGAACTAGTAATTATAAATACTGTCACAATGGTCCCTGACTTCAGAGCCATGATAAAATGGTAGCTTCCAGCAACAGCATTAGCAACTTTTAACCAACAAATAAGATCGATATGAAGTGGGTTCCAAAGGCATTAAAATTTCAGACATCCCAAAATAATTCCTCAAATAATAAAGCACACATTTTACTGAGAAGAGTATGTATCATCATTAGCTTAATTATGAGTGAACAAATCGCCCTAAGCTCCCTTACATTAGATTATTCTGTAATAAAACACAAAACAATTGTTTTTACATCACAATGCATGCGAATATCCACACTTTAGCCTCTCAGACCCAACTGATTTCCTCACCTCCTCTTTTTTTCACTAACCTTCTCCTGGTACTGCCTGCGTGAGGAGTCCAGTGACTGAATGAGGGCGGTGGCGTGGCCCACAAACATGGCATAGCAGGTTGCACCCACGATCATGCTGAGGATGGTCAGCCACACATCCGTCATGCCCACAGGAGGGTACATGCCATACCCGATACACAGCATGTGGCTCATGGCCTTAAACAGGGCGTAAGAGTACTGCTGACCCCATGTGTCATTCTGTGAGGACAGAGAGAAAGACAGGGATGCACGGAAAGAGAGAGCGGAGAAGAGATAAAGAGAAAGAAGAACCCAAATTAAAGCATGAATATAATTATGAGCATGAAAGACGGCAATTGTGATAGAAAGCAAAAGAAATAGGAGAGACGGTGAAAGAGGGACAAAACCTGTTGTGAAGGGACAAAGGTACGGACCAATGAGAGCGAGAGGAGAGAAAATAGCGTCGCGAATGACAGAATGTGAGAGAAAGAGCGCGAGAGAGTGCTAGACTGGAAAAAAGTGACAGTGTTTCTATATATTTCTGACAGGAGCCGGAATAAAGGCCAGAGAGAGAGAGAAAGGGAAATATCACGTCCTTTAACAGGAGGGTCATTACGAACGCTGCATGCGCTTTCTTGATATGAGAAGATGGAGGAAAGCAGAAGGTACTGTTTTACAAATGCTAATGAAGCATAGTCACGGACAGTGTTCGTCTTTTAGCAAAATGAGTCACTCGGTCTGGCACTTTTGGGCCAAATACTTATCATGCAGGTCCAGGATATGATGCAGCTGGCCTAATTTCAGTCAAAAATATTACTTTTACCAATATCAGTTCAATATGGTTGCCAGTTTCAGTCTCAGAGTAAAAAAAAAGAAAAGTAATTACGACTTGATATGTCACAATTGTGACGTTGTTTATAGTAACTGACTGTAATTATATCCTTGTTTATCATAATTCTGACTTTATATCTTACAAAGTGGCTTTCTATCTCACAATTTGACTATTTTTCATAATTACAACACAATTTCTTATAATCACAAATTTGTTTCTCATAATTTCGACTTTATATTTCACAATGCAGCTTTATATTGTGACAATTCACTTTATATCTCAAAACTGCAACTTTTCTTTTAATTTACGACTTTGTATTGCCCAGTTGTGACTTTATATTTCATAATACGACTTTTTATCTTGCAGTCATAACTCATGTTTCTCATAACTTTTGTTTCTGTAAATGTAACTTTGTTTTTTCATACTTGTGACTTTATATTTCACAATGTAACCCTATATTGCATAATCTGACTTTTTAATCTGATAATTGCCACTTTATTTCTCAAATTTCATAATGTGGCTTTTTATCTTGCAATTTGACTTTATATTTCTCAATTGTGTCTTCTGTCTTTGGTACTTATAATTGTGACTTTATATCTCACAATTTGACTTTATACCCTGGAAATTGACTTTATATCTCAAAATTATATATATATATTTCTTTTAACTCTTGACTTTATATCTCCCAATTGTGATTCTATACTTTACAATGTGACTTGCGATTGTAACTTTGTTACTTGTAATTGTGACTTTTGTTTCTTGTATTTGCAACTTTATATTTCAGTGTGGTTTTATATCGCAAAATTTGATTGTATATATCATAATCTGGCTTTTTATCTTGCAATGTGACTTTATATCTTTCCATATGATTTAACATCTCAAAACTGCAACTAGGTGCCAGTAGTGAGCGTTTAATGAGTGAGTCACTGAGTTGTTCATTCAAGCGATTCGTTCAAATGGCTGATTATATTCATGGGCTAATGAAACTTTGAATCAACCGATTCGTTCAGAACACGGAATCATTCAGCAATGAATCGGCTGGTTTCTGTGAGTGAGATGCACTGTGGTTCCGCCTAATATGTAAGCGACCTAATATTATTGTATTACTGTTTATTGAACTATTAAACAGTCGTAATGATGAAAACGTTGTGTGATGTTGCCTAACTAACTGTATTTTAAATATAAAATTTTTCATTTTGAATTTTTAACTCAGCATGCTTACTTGTCTGGCGTTAATGAAGCGTTAATGTTGAGCCGGATGGCCCCGGCCCAATTTAAACCCTGATTGTCACTTCATGGTGTCATAATTGCAATTCATATCTTGCAATTGGACTTTATATTTTACAATTGTGACTATTTCTTTGAACTTTTATTAACTTTTTATAACTCTAAGGTGGAAACAGCTTTCTATAATTCAAAATGTTCCATCTGGGTCGCACACTGTTTTGCAGCAGTATAAACAGCTATTCTATCTTGCTGCATTTATATATATATATATATATATATATATATATATTTTTTTTAGGTCATAGGTCATGTGAAAAATCTAAAAGGAAAAGCGGTCAGAGATGTAAACTGGAATATGCCGCATTGGGTCACAATTAAGATTTAATCCTCACTCAGTTCTAGGCCACATTGTCCTTAAACTGGATTTTAGTAGCACAACGCTGGGCTTGTGGAGTATTACATAAGGTACTGTATCTTTTCTGCTAATGTCACTAATAGTTCCTAGGAGATCAGTGGGAGGCCAAACGAGAGGCTGATGTTACCCACAATCCATAACGGCACCGATGCACCCCCCAACCCCCCCAGTGGCAGCGTTCCCAAATAGCAGTAATCAAAGTGCGGATTCCAATAGATTTCCGTTAACTGGCAAGGTTGAAGGGATCGAAGCAATTAAAGGGTCATGGTGCACGCTTTTAACTTTGCCATGGACAAACAACGGTTAGGTTGAGTAACACATTGCTGCCTGTAATCGTGGCTAATTGCTGCTTGATTTAGAAGCTGGCAGAGCTAAAATGAAATCCACGTGATGGCAAAGCATTCGCCGAGTGTCAGATACGACTGTAAGTTAATGTAACCTTCTGTCTATTATTGCTGACCGCGATTTTAACAAGTAGGATGTGTTCTTGGATCAGCTCCATTGTTGGTCCTAGAACATCCTCACTGTTATCTGTTACCAATCATTTCCCTATGATTTTAGAGGTATTAAAAGAACAGTCCATCCAAAATGAAATTTCTGCCAACGTGTACATTTATTTGAGGTTGTTTCAAACCTAAAGGTGCCACATTGTCTTTTATGTTCACCAGTAAAAACGGCAATATTGTGAAATATTGTTAAAATTTAAAATAACTGTTTCTATTTTAATACATTTTAAGATGTCATTTATTCCTGTGATTGCAAAGCATCATTACTCTAGTCTTCAGTGTCACATGATCCTTCAGAAATCACTCTAATAAGCAGATTTGCTTAAAGAAACATTAATATTATAAATTTTGAAAATGATTTTTGCTGTTGCTGTTTTGCTGTGGATTCTTTGATTAACAGAACGTTCAAAAGAACAGCATTTATTTGAAACAGAAATCTTTTGTAGCATTATAAATGTCTTTAATGCCACTTTTGGTCAATTTAATGCATCCTTGCTGAATAAAAGCATTACAATTCTACTAACCCAAACTTTTTTAACATTAGTGTATATATAATTAAATAAGCAGTTTTTTTCTTACTTCTATGGTACTTTTATATATATATATATTATTATTATTTATTTATATTTTTTTGTCATTTTAGACTACAACAGCCCAAATCCCCATTCCTCAGCAATTTCTGAAACAACACGAGGGTGAGTAAATGATGGCAGAATTTTCATTTTAAGTCAGAAATATTAATTGAATGGTTTATATTACGGTTAGAACTGTGGTTATGAGGAATGAGTATATTTGTTTGACAGAAATATTGCTTCAGGACCACCAAAAGAAACCATGGACAGCTCCATTATTGGTACGGGAATATCAAACAAGGTTCATATCACAGTTCATTTTCTTTTCAACATTCACAAGCCAACAAAAATCGGTGTTATTTGTGGTAGATATATTACAATCTAAGAGGTGCATCTTACCTCCTCCCATTGGTGGATGTATCTAATGAGTCTGGACAATCTCAACAGCCGAAGCAGACTGAGTATTTTAGTGAAACGCACAATCCTCAACGCTCGTGCTGTCTTGTAGAAGTCCGAGTCGATGCGTGTCTCCACAATGAGGAAGATGTAATCCACAGGGATGGAGGAGATGAAATCCACAGCGAACCAGCTCCGAAGATACTTCACCTTGATCTGCTGAGGGTCCAGGATGATTTCTGTGCTGTCTTCTTTGACGATCCCCGTGCGGAAGTTCAGCACCAGGGTGATGCCGACGGGGATGATGATCAGGTTGCCCACCATCAACAGGAGCATGATCAGGTCCCAGTAGAACCTGGACGACATACAACGGACAAAGTGTTTATTTAATGCCTTTGGAACAGAAGAGTCTGCATGACCTTTGAAAGCATTAACCAATAAAGACAATTAAAGATTATAAATTACAATGAAGTGCTTCTTCTTCAAATTTTGTTTTACAGAGACACATGTATAAGAAACATTTTATGGATCCTACAAGTTAGAAAACTGGATAATACATTTATTTATAGATATAATAATAGTAAATAATGAATATCAATAATAATTCTTAATGACTAACTAATAATAGTAATAAATACTATAAATATAACAATTTGAATATCATAATATAATTATTATCATTATTCATTAACATAATTAAATACATAATTAACATTACATTATTTTATAAAAACAATAGTAAATAATTAACATTATCACTAAATATATTTTTACCGTTAAAATTAATTATTTACCATATTATGTCTTGTTGTTTTTAACAAACAAAGACTATTTGAAATCACTTTCAGTAATTGAGATAAAGCTGAAATAAAACAAAATAAAAAAATTAGAAACTTAAAATATAACAATAAAAAACGTAAATGAAATGTTGATTTTAACTAATTAAAATAAGTTCAAGTACTAAAATTACTACAATTTAAAGTTAACAATAACTTAAAACTCTCTCTCTCTCTCTCTCTCTCTCTATATATATATATAATTACTAAAACTTAAACTAAAATGAAAATGAAAACTGAAGATATATAATCTATTTTACAATATTACAAAATGGTATTATAGAATATAAATAATACTAAATATACTTAATAAATAAAAAATACTTAAATGACAGAAATATACAATTAAAATTCACATTATTATACTTCCTGAAAAACTAACCTTTTAAATCTAGTTTGTGACCATATTTAAGACCAACCAATTCTGTAGCTAAACTGATGCGCTAGCAACACCAAGGTCATGGGTTCAATTCTTTGGATAAATGCATCTGCCAAATGCATGAATGTAATTGTCTGCCATCATTTCCTCAAAATAAGTATTATGATGTTCGTAATCAGAAACACTCATCTAAAAAGCGCACTCAGGATTTCTTGAGAACGCTTTATGAGCTCAGCCCCTGACTGACGCTGGAAATGGCTGGCTGTCTGGTTGGGCTATTACTCTCGTTTATGGATGAGTTCCCTATTTGGTAATTGGATGTGTCGTATGTATGTAAATGAAAGGGGCTGGAAGACATCCAGGAGACCTCTGGCAAGACCGCCATTTCATCAATAAAAGATCTGCTGGGTGAAACGTTTACACAAAAACAAGCCGCCATAATTGCTGAACGCAGCATTAATTACCCCGTTGGCCCTGACATGCCAAAATGAGCCTTTTTTGGTTGTGTGAAACATTCAATAATGCTACTAATATTTCACGCTGCTTTACAGTATTTGCCACGTGCTAATATTCTTTTTGAACACCAAAAACTGAAGTTGTGGATTAGCCTTCTTCATTTATACCTCTCTATGGTAGAGAGCTGGTTGGTTACTAGATTCCAGTCCTTTGCTGCTGAGTTGTAATTAAGCAAAAATCGATCACACAGAGGGTTGATAAACCGTCCAGCTCGATATGGATTGCAAAGAGAGAACGAGGCTCTCAGCATTTCAGAGTTGTCCAGTGGGATTAAGTGTTGTTTGACACCACGGACAAGAAAGAAAAAAACCCTCAGTTCGATTTTAGGCCCTTATATTTGTGTATAAATAGGTCACTGTGTTTTCTTCACTAACAAATTGCTTCTGAAATGACTGCAGAAATAATAAAAAGCAGATTAACCATGATCTCACACAGTATTGGATCATGACTGTCATCATATTAGCATAAGCAATCATTAACATATAAAAAGAACTGGGCCATTCCATGTCAAATCAACCAGAGGTCCTCAGAGGCTAAAAAGTAAAAAAAAAAATTCTGGTCAAAGAAATACATAAATGAAGAATAAAGCCAAAATATGAAATGGCTTTGAACCAGAATCCAAGAATCTAATTTAAGAAGTAAAATCTCATAGGATATTGAGATACAGTATCTTTAATACTTCTTAAATTACAGACACGCAAACTTTGGGAAGAAACTATTTATAGCACTCAAACATCTGTTCTTTGCAGTTGTTTTGATAGAGAGAAACAAGATACATTCCTAGTTTAAACAATATTTGTTCATCAGACATTCCTCTTTAAAATGAAAGACTTCACTGTAAGCAAAGTGACCCACATTTGGTTTTTGAGCATTGAAATTGTGAACAACTTAATTTACTCATGGAGCCAGATTGAAATCCCCACATCTCTGTTAAACCATATAGGCCCTTAAAAATGAAGAGACCAAATGATACATTTGTTAAGAACCAGTCTCTAAAAGAATATTGACATACTGCTAATACTTTTTGAGTTAAAGCACACAAACTCTGGAAAAGCCATGTGCTTTTTCCTGTTTTTGAACTGCCACCACTGGCTAATAAAGCAAGCAGTATTACATCAACTGATTTTACTAACAGACCTGCCAATCTCTGTGTAAAAATACAATAATGATGCAGCCATGGTCTTTCTAAAGTCATTTTTACCCTCTGTAATTTGGCTCCAAATCTCAGGTGAAAATTGCCATTTGACTATTTTTTCAAAATTACAATTACTGGATTATTATTAATTAATACAAAATAGTAAATATTCCTCGGTGGCATTTTAAAATGTTGGTTTTCATCACTATTAATGTTTGCGTTGTAAAAATTTGAGTCAGGGAAGTTAATTTGACAGAATGACCCAGCTACATTTTGTTTTACAGGCAACTATGTGTTTGTTAAAACTAAAAATTGGGCAAACTATTAAAGACTGAATATTAACTTTGTCTAATTAGATTCTCAAAATGATAATGTCCCTCTCCAAAGCCACCTTCAAATGACCAGAAACTAGCATCATATTAGCTTAACATACCAGCTAATTTAAAATAAATTAAATAAATAAAAGATGAGCCTTATGATATGTCCCACTCAAATTTACTGTAATACATCAGGAATAGAATCCAAATAATGCTAATATTATATTATGTCTGCTTCTTTTCTGGCAAGTTAATACTCTAATCACATATATGTTAAATACCTACTTTTAAATGTAATATGAAATCTGGGTTTAACCAAATGGAAAAATACTACTTCCACATTGCAGGGCTCTATTTTACATTGCTTGAAATGAGCTTTGGAGGAGATTAAATAAGAACAAACCATCTATAGGAAGTGTCACTAAATCTGCCAGATTATTTCCAGACAGTTTTCAGATTATAAAGGATTTGCCATTGACATTTACCCTTGGACAGATGCTCCAGTGGTCAAAGCAGGCAAAAGAATAACTTTTACAGCAACATGTGCTGAACTGTTTGTACCGGACACATATGCAAGGACTAAAAGTGGCATATATATATATATATATATATATATATATATATACATATATATAACCCAAATAGCAGTAATCAAAGTGCGGATTCCAATAGATTTCCGTTAACTGGCAAGGTTGAAGGGATCGAAGCAATTAAAGGGTCATGGTGCACGCTTTTAACTTTGCCATGGACAAACAACGGTTAGGTTGAGTAACACATTGCTGCCTGTAATCGTGGCTAATTGCTGCTTGATTTAGAAGCTGGCAGAGCTAAAATGAAATCCACGTGATGGCAAAGCATTCGCCGAGTGTCAGATACGACTGTAAGTTAATGTAACCTTCTGTCTATTATTGCTGACCGCGATTTTAACAAGTAGGATGTGTTCTTGGATCAGCTCCATTGTTGGTCCTAGAACATCCTCACTGTTATCTGTTACCAATCATTTCCCTATGATTTTAGAGGTATTAAAAGAACAGTCCATCCAAAATGAAATTTCTGCCAACGTGTACATTTATTTGAGGTTGTTTCAAACCTAAAGGTGCCACATTGTCTTTTATGTTCACCAGTAAAAACGGCAATATTGTGAAATATTGTTAAAATTTAAAATAACTGTTTCTATTTTAATACATTTTAAGATGTCATTTATTCCTGTGATTGCAAAGCATCATTACTCTAGTCTTCAGTGTCACATGATCCTTCAGAAATCACTCTAATAAGCAGATTTGCTTAAAGAAACATTAATATTATAAATTTTGAAAATGATTTTTGCTGTTGCTGTTTTGCTGTGGATTCTTTGATTAACAGAACGTTCAAAAGAACAGCATTTATTTGAAACAGAAATCTTTTGTAGCATTATAAATGTCTTTAATGCCACTTTTGGTCAATTTAATGCATCCTTGCTGAATAAAAGCATTACAATTCTACTAACCCAAACTTTTTTAACATTAGTGTATATATAATTAAATAAGCAGTTTTTTTCTTACTTCTATGGTACTTTTATATATATATATATTATTATTATTTATTTATATTTTTTTGTCATTTTAGACTACAACAGCCCAAATCCCCATTCCTCAGCAATTTCTGAAACAACACGAGGGTGAGTAAATGATGGCAGAATTTTCATTTTAAGTCAGAAATATTAATTGAATGGTTTATATTACGGTTAGAACTGTGGTTATGAGGAATGAGTATATTTGTTTGACAGAAATATTGCTTCAGGACCACCAAAAGAAACCATGGACAGCTCCATTATTGGTACGGGAATATCAAACAAGGTTCATATCACAGTTCATTTTCTTTTCAACATTCACAAGCCAACAAAAATCGGTGTTATTTGTGGTAGATATATTACAATCTAAGAGGTGCATCTTACCTCCTCCCATTGGTGGATGTATCTAATGAGTCTGGACAATCTCAACAGCCGAAGCAGACTGAGTATTTTAGTGAAACGCACAATCCTCAACGCTCGTGCCGTCTTGTAGAAGTCCGAGTCGATGCGTGTCTCCACAATGAGGAAGATGTAATCCACAGGGATGGAGGAGATGAAATCCACAGCGAACCAGCTCCGAAGATACTTCACCTTGATCTGCTGAGGGTCCAGGATGATTTCTGTGCTGTCTTCTTTGACGATCCCCGTGCGGAAGTTCAGCACCAGGTCAACCAGGAAGAATGTGTCAGAGACCACGTTAAAGACTATCCAGGCGGGGGTGTGTTCATCTTTAAAGAAGGTGATGCCGACGGGGATGATGATCAGGTTGCCCACCATCAACAGGAGCATGATCAGGTCCCAGTAGAACCTGGACGACATACAACGGACAAAGTGTTTATTTAATGCCTTTGGAACAGAAGAGTCTGCATGACCTTTGAAAGCATTAACCAATAAAGACAATTAAAGATTATAAATTACAATGAAGTGCTTCTTCTTCAAATTTTGTTTTACAGAGACACATGTATAAGAAACATTTTATGGATCCTACAAGTTAGAAAACTGGATAATACATTTATTTATAGATATAATAATAGTAAATAATGAATATCAATAATAATTCTTAATGACTAACTAATAATAGTAATAAATACTATAAATATAACAATTTGAATATCATAATATAATTATTATCATTATTCATTAACATAATTAAATACATAATTAACATTACATTATTTTATAAAAACAATAGTAAATAATTAACATTATCACTAAATATATTTTTACCGTTAAAATTAATTATTTACCATATTATGTCTTGTTGTTTTTAACAAACAAAGACTATTTGAAATCACTTTCAGTAATTGAGATAAAGCTGAAATAAAACAAAATAAAAAAATTAGAAACTTAAAATATAACAATAAAAAACGTAAATGAAATGTTGATTTTAACTAATTAAAATAAGTTCAAGTACTAAAATTACTACAATTTAAAGTTAACAATAACTTAAAACTCTCTCTCTCTCTCTCTCTCTCTCTATATATATATATAATTACTAAAACTTAAACTAAAATGAAAATGAAAACTGAAGATATATAATCTATTTTACAATATTACAAAATGGTATTATAGAATATAAATAATACTAAATATACTTAATAAATAAAAAATACTTAAATGACAGAAATATACAATTAAAATTCACATTATTATACTTCCTGAAAAACTAACCTTTTAAATCTAGTTTGTGACCATATTTAAGACCAACCAATTCTGTAGCTAAACTGATGCGCTAGCAACACCAAGGTCATGGGTTCAATTCTTTGGATAAATGCATCTGCCAAATGCATGAATGTAATTGTCTGCCATCATTTCCTCAAAATAAGTATTATGATGTTCGTAATCAGAAACACTCATCTAAAAAGCGCACTCAGGATTTCTTGAGAACGCTTTATGAGCTCAGCCCCTGACTGACGCTGGAAATGGCTGGCTGTCTGGTTGGGCTATTACTCTCGTTTATGGATGAGTTCCCTATTTGGTAATTGGATGTGTCGTATGTATGTAAATGAAAGGGGCTGGAAGACATCCAGGAGACCTCTGGCAAGACCGCCATTTCATCAATAAAAGATCTGCTGGGTGAAACGTTTACACAAAAACAAGCCGCCATAATTGCTGAACGCAGCATTAATTACCCCGTTGGCCCTGACATGCCAAAATGAGCCTTTTTTGGTTGTGTGAAACATTCAATAATGCTACTAATATTTCACGCTGCTTTACAGTATTTGCCACGTGCTAATATTCTTTTTGAACACCAAAAACTGAAGTTGTGGATTAGCCTTCTTCATTTATACCTCTCTATGGTAGAGAGCTGGTTGGTTACTAGATTCCAGTCCTTTGCTGCTGAGTTGTAATTAAGCAAAAATCGATCACACAGAGGGTTGATAAACCGTCCAGCTCGATATGGATTGCAAAGAGAGAACGAGGCTCTCAGCATTTCAGAGTTGTCCAGTGGGATTAAGTGTTGTTTGACACCACGGACAAGAAAGAAAAAAACCCTCAGTTCGATTTTAGGCCCTTATATTTGTGTATAAATAGGTCACTGTGTTTTCTTCACTAACAAATTGCTTCTGAAATGACTGCAGAAATAATAAAAAGCAGATTAACCATGATCTCACACAGTATTGGATCATGACTGTCATCATATTAGCATAAGCAATCATTAACATATAAAAAGAACTGGGCCATTCCATGTCAAATCAACCAGAGGTCCTCAGAGGCTAAAAAGTAAAAAAAAAAATTCTGGTCAAAGAAATACATAAATGAAGAATAAAGCCAAAATATGAAATGGCTTTGAACCAGAATCCAAGAATCTAATTTAAGAAGTAAAATCTCATAGGATATTGAGATACAGTATCTTTAATACTTCTTAAATTACAGACACGCAAACTTTGGGAAGAAACTATTTATAGCACTCAAACATCTGTTCTTTGCAGTTGTTTTGATAGAGAGAAACAAGATACATTCCTAGTTTAAACAATATTTGTTCATCAGACATTCCTCTTTAAAATGAAAGACTTCACTGTAAGCAAAGTGACCCACATTTGGTTTTTGAGCATTGAAATTGTGAACAACTTAATTTACTCATGGAGCCAGATTGAAATCCCCACATCTCTGTTAAACCATATAGGCCCTTAAAAATGAAGAGACCAAATGATACATTTGTTAAGAACCAGTCTCTAAAAGAATATTGACATACTGCTAATACTTTTTGAGTTAAAGCACACAAACTCTGGAAAAGCCATGTGCTTTTTCCTGTTTTTGAACTGCCACCACTGGCTAATAAAGCAAGCAGTATTACATCAACTGATTTTACTAACAGACCTGCCAATCTCTGTGTAAAAATACAATAATGATGCAGCCATGGTCTTTCTAAAGTCATTTTTACCCTCTGTAATTTGGCTCCAAATCTCAGGTGAAAATTGCCATTTGACTATTTTTTCAAAATTACAATTACTGGATTATTATTAATTAATACAAAATAGTAAATATTCCTCGGTGGCATTTTAAAATGTTGGTTTTCATCACTATTAATGTTTGCGTTGTAAAAATTTGAGTCAGGGAAGTTAATTTGACAGAATGACCCAGCTACATTTTGTTTTACAGGCAACTATGTGTTTGTTAAAACTAAAAATTGGGCAAACTATTAAAGACTGAATATTAACTTTGTCTAATTAGATTCTCAAAATGATAATGTCCCTCTCCAAAGCCACCTTCAAATGACCAGAAACTAGCATCATATTAGCTTAACATACCAGCTAATTTAAAATAAATTAAATAAATAAAAGATGAGCCTTATGATATGTCCCACTCAAATTTACTGTAATACATCAGGAATAGAATCCAAATAATGCTAATATTATATTATGTCTGCTTCTTTTCTGGCAAGTTAATACTCTAATCACATATATGTTAAATACCTACTTTTAAATGTAATATGAAATCTGGGTTTAACCAAATGGAAAAATACTACTTCCACATTGCAGGGCTCTATTTTACATTGCTTGAAATGAGCTTTGGAGGAGATTAAACAGGAACAAACCATCTATAGGAAGTGTCACTAAATCTGCCAGATTATTTCCAGACAGTTTTCAGATTATAAAGGATTTGCCATTGACATTTACCCTTGGACAGATGCTCCAGTGGTCAAAGCAGGCAAAAGAATAACTTTTACAGCAACATGTGCTGAACTGTTTGTACCGGACACATATGCAAGGACTAAAAGTGGCATATATATATATATATATATATATATATATATATATATATATACATATATATAAACTGTGCTATATTTAAGATCATGTAGCAGGCAAATACAAATTTGGGACTGCTGTCGTTCATAGAATTCACTGACTTTGTGGGTTTTTTTTTATTAAGTATTGTTAAAAAATGATATTTCCCCATGTTTATACCAGACTTTTCCCTTAAAATCAGTGCAATGGATAAAAACAACAACAACAACAAAAAAACTGATTCTGTCTGGGCCTACCAATTATTTAATCTAATCATATCACATCACACCACAGCATTTTCTTGGTCCACTTAATCTCCGGATTATATTATAGCCTGTAAGCTTCCATCATATCTATATTCCTGTCTATACTCTAAATGCAATATGGATATGAAACTGTCAACCCACGCTGTTGCTAGAGAAGTAATTGTATTGGGAATATCCAATATCTATCACATCGACCATAGTATCACTGTAACCACATTATACACATTATTCTCTTCTCAATTCACATGTGTAAACAACTGATATATCATGAGAACATACACTAGAAACCACAAGAGGCATTATTCAATATCATTTGCAATATAAAATGGACACCAGTGGGTATGAGCTTGAGAAAGCTTGGAAAAGTGAAGATAGTTCTACCAGAAAGACTCAGGAGGTGAAGATAAAACTCAAAAGTATTTATTTACAAAACCGATACAAAGAACAGAATTATTTGGCATAGGCCCCATCCGTAGCTTGAATCTGAAGTTGTAGATTCCAGCTATTCCTGCCGAAGACGAAGGCAGGGTGGAGCCTACCCCCGCATGGACGGGGCCAACCTGGTGGTGGTGGGGAGGATGGAGGGAAACGATAGCGGCAGTATCTGCAAACACAATGAAGGGTGAGTAGAGGGCTTTTATATTCCTTGTGTTGAGTGCCGATTGGCTAGATCTAATTGTAATATGTGACGTGGCATTAAGTCTTCCTAGTAGAACTTGCGCTGACGCTTCCATTTCTGCAAAAAGGTATTTGGTTTGTGTGTAAGTTTTGATTCCACCTTCATTTTGAAATTGTGTGGATCTTTAACAACCCTATTTAGGCTAAAAATCAACTAACAGACGAGAGCCACTGTTAAATGACAGCGGAGGGAACACATTTCATCCAAACAAAAGCCTTTGCAATAATCAGCTTTCTGTTACAATCTGCCAAAAATACACTCTCTGTTCTCCTTCTCTATCTGTTGCTGCTTAGCATATTATGAGTCCTAATTGTCTTTCCCAATCCCCATCCCTCCAATTGTGATGATCTCTCTGTGGAATCTGTGTCAACTCTACTCACCAGATCTAGCCATCATCCGAAAGCTCTGCACCACAGCTCAACCAGTCGCTCTGGCCGCTGGAGTCTCCTGCAGAAAGCTAATGTGTTGGGTACATAATAATAGGTTTATGCAAGACTACTGCCATGATTCACTTGGGTGGCTGTCATGCCGCCGTCATGCAAAAGAATCAACTGAATTCAGATAGCCTTAAGGCTGTTTCTTTAACTATTGTCACTTTTGGCCTTTTTGGCCTTTAGAAAGTGAACTCAAC